TCAAAAAATTAGAAATTGAGCTCCCATTTGATCCAGCAATACGACTCCTGGGAACATATCCCAGAGAGGCAAAAAAGTATAGTCGAAGTGACATCTGCACTTGTTTGTTCATTGCAGCACTCTTTACAATAGCCAGAATATGGAAAAAACCTGATTGCCTGAGAACAGATGACTGGTTAAAGAAACTTTGGTACATTTACACAATGGAGTACCATGTAGCTGTTAGAAAAGACGAAGTCACGAAATTTACATACAAGTGGTAGTACATGGAAAGTATCATGCTAAGTGAAATGAGTCAGAAAGAGAGGGACAGACATAGAAAGATTGCATTCATCTGGGGAACATAAAGTAACAAAATAGGAAACTAACACCCAAGAATGGCCGAGATTAGTACCAGGAATTTTACTCCGTGGCTTGGAGGCCAACCACACATGCCAGGGGAAAAGGGAGCTCTGATAGAGAAGTGAACACCAAATAAAGGTGTTGGGAGGATCCTCCCAGGATGGGAGAAGCATGCTGAAAGTAGACTATAGACCAAACATGATTGTCACCCATTGCCTCTTTTGCAAACCACAACACCCAATAAGAGAGAGAGAACAAAAGGGAATGCCCTGCCACAGAGGCAGGGTGAGATGGGGTGGACAGGGGGTGGGAGGGATACTGGGATCTGTGGTGGTGGGAAATGGGCACTGGTGGAGGGATGGGTATTTGATCATTGTATAATTGAAACCCAAGCACAAAAATATCCAAGTCTGTAACTGTACCTCATGTCTCACTATTAAAACTTTTTTAAAAAATTGAAAAAAAAGTTTCGTGCAGTTTGTGTGGAAGAAATGAGGAGAAACAGTAGGGGCTAAACAGGTCTGCAGAAGTCCACTCTGTACCTCGGAGTTGTACTCTAATACTCTGAGTGTACACACTTTGAGTGTACAAAGTTAAGCACCGTGTTCTTAGTACTTAAAGCTATGGAAGTATGATCCTTCTAGTAAGACCACAGAAAAAATGAGAAAGTCTCAAATTACAGATAGACCTGGAAGAAAGGGCAAAACTAAAAGGAATAAGAGGTAAAGGAGGAAAAAACAGAGAACAAAATATGATAGAAACCAAACTTGCATAATACTGAATGCACCTTAAAGATTGAATCAATGAAAACAAAGTGTTCATTTGATTTGTGATTGGTGGGTTTTAGGTTTAGAGCATGACAAAAGTAGTCTTAATTGAGAGATAAAGTGATTAATTGAAGTTGAAATGTGATTGCAGTAGTGAAAGTGAATGAGGTTGAAAAGTGATTGCAGTTCTGAAAGTGAATGGGGGCTGAGAAAATGAAGCAAGTACATACAAACAATTTTTTGGAAACTTGCTATAAACGGTGGCATTGGAACAAGACTAGAATGCAATTGCAGAAGATGTTGGAGGGGGATATTAAGCATCAGTAGATCTTTCTCAAAGTTGACATTCAATACAAGTGGGTATCTATTCTTACCTTAGGTTCTCCAAGGCATGTCTAATGTCTAACTTACATAATAACTATTTTTTTTCATGAATGAGAAGAAGGAAACAGGAAAGCAAACTCAAGAAGTTACCATCTACTTAGTACTACTAAACAATTAGAACTCATCAGACTAGAGTCCCTCTAAGGTTTCCTTTAGAATCTATTGAGAATTTTTTATACACCCCCCCACCACCACCCAACAGGATTTTACCACTAGCCAAGAGCTATTCTTTTGAGTATTAACCCCTTGTACTTTCCAACTTGCATATGCTACAGAATTATCAGGTATCTATAAGCAGCCCCACTCAGAGAAACCCAGGACATAAAAATGAGAGCCATCCAGTATAGCTGAATATAGCTACCGTGCCTACTATTAACTCTGCATGCCATTGGTTGCCATGGTAATAGCTAAAATCAAAGATGGGCCAGGAAGATATGAAGCAGGGCACCAGAGATGTTGGCTGTAATATCTACCTTGATATTCCTACACTCTATCCCAATTCCTTCCCTGACAAGAGATAAAATAACTTGTGCTGTCTAGTACACACCAAAGTTGGTATCTAGGTCCTCCTCATTCCTTGCCTTCAGATTGTGTCTCTGTTTAAGATTAACTGATCCAAGTAACAGAATGACACATGCCAAGTAATCTAACTAAGAGTTTTGGCAAATAAAACATTTGGCAATTCTTGGTGACAGAAATGAGAAATGCCTTAGGAACTTCAACCAATTAACCCAATACTTTATCAGTACACACTGCACTCTGAATCTGCACACAGTAGTATAAAAGTTGTCAGTTAATATTCAGTATAGTCCATGCTTTGATGTCTCATTAAGGGAATGCTGCACTAACATATGGGAACAAATCTAAAAATAGTTGAAGTCTTGATGTGATTAGTAAATGTGCAATAGTATTATGTCAAGCTAGTAAATGTTTCTGTTAGAAAAGAATAGAAATTTATAGATTATGAACAGCAACAGGAATACTTGATTTTTTTAGGTATTTCAAACTCCAAATATTAACAGACGTCATCCCTAACTAGTAATACTTGAATGTGAATTTTATTTTTCATGCTAATATTTTCATAAGTATAATAAATATTAGCCAAATTATTTTAAGATAATCAGAGAATATACAGCAACTAGAATTCCCATACATTGCTGGTGAGAATGCATATCACTGTCACTGTCCTCCCGTTGTTCATCGATTTGCTCAAGTGGGCTCAGTAACATCTCCATTGTGAGACTTGTTGTTACTGTGTTTGGCATATCGAATACGTGATAGGTAGCTTGCCAGGCTTTGCCATGCAAGTGAGATACTCTCGGTAGCTTGCCGGGCTCTCTGAGAGGAGCAGAGGAATTGAACTCCAGGTCAGCCGTGTTGGGTGCGTGCAAGGCAGACGCCCTACCAGCTGTGCTATCGCTCCAGCCCTTTAGAATGCAAAATAGTACAGATATTTAAGAAATCAAATTTTCAGTTCCTAAAAAAGTAAAGTATACACTTAACATTAAAAAATGTACACACACAATAAGCAAGTGTTTAAAGCAGCTTTCTTTCATAATCACAAAAAAAGGAAAACAATCCTGAAGATCTCCAACTGTGGTATGAATACAATGGCCTACTCCTCAGTGACAAAAACAAGCAACTACTGAAATACACAACCACAAAGAATCTCAAATACATTATTCTGCATGAAAGAAGCCAGATGCAAAATGTCGCATGTGGTGCACGCTACATGAATGCACTTTGACCTGCAAAAGATGAAACCATAAGAACAAAAGTTTGTCAGTGGTTGCTAAGGATGGAACGTGGAAGAAAATGTTAGCTACAAGAGGGCAACACAATGCAACTGAAGGGCAGTAGTGCTGTTCTATATCTGATTCTACTGGTAATTATAGATCTATATACGCAAGTGAATTCAGCTCTCTACACACACTAAAAAACAGCTCATTTTTATGCATGTAAGTTCTTTAAAGTAAATTACCCACAAATCCTCAGATTAAAATGCTAAGGGCAGAGGTCAGGGAGAGAATTCAGCAGACCAGTGCACATGCTTTGCATGTGGCTGGCCATGTTCAATCTCTAGCTCCTCATGTCCCCGAGCACCACCAAAAGTGACCACTAAGTAACCGATGGATATCTCTGGGTGTGGTCCAAGAAAAAAACAGAATGAAAAAAAGGAAAATTTTCCCCAAAATTAAAACAAGTAAAGTCAAGTCTATCTTAAGGGCTACCGAAGTGAAAATAGAGACTGTTTGGGAACTAAAAGGGAAAAATTGTCTAAGAATCGTTACTGAGAACCAGGGAGAAGTCTTTGACTTTCTCAATTCTGAATTGGAGGACAGGAGATCATAAGCACAAAGATGTTTTATGTTCATCACCATACCAGCGGAAATTCTTTAGGTTACAAGCAACCAGTCTGACTTGATAAGTTGCACACAGAAAAGGGAAATAGGGGTGGGACTTATTGTGAGGATCACTATCAATTCACATGAGGGAAGGAAATACTGGAAAATAGGGTCCAATAATCCTCACAGATGATTTGAAAACATGTCTGCCAGTTCTACCTAGACTCCAGGATGCTGAATGCAAGTGCAATTGGAGATCACAGCACCTGCCTTGGATGTCCTGTACTTCCTGCCAGTGTGTTTCCTCTGTCCTCCTGGATGAAATGCTCAGGAAGAATTTCCCAGAGAGGAGTTAACATTATGGGACGTGATTAAATGATAGAAAATGCCATCCATGGTTAATGCTTCCTTTCTCCCCAGAGCAACAGTTCTCATTGAGAACCGGTTACAAGTACTGGCGGTGGATCTGGTAAAACTTCCTTATATTTGTTGGTTTTCTTCCTCTCTCATTTTATTCTCCCTGTTCCAAACTGTATGAACTCATATTTTCCAATATACCGAATACAGGTTAGCCTTCTTCTTAGATTTTTAGGCGTTTGTATGGACCCAGTATAGCTCTGGAAATTTCAGATATACCGAGTTATGCACCATTGCTTCAAGACTACAGTGTCAGAGGTCTCAGTTCCAACTGACCTCCAACCCTGCCCCCATTGGATTCTGATTAGATCACTTTAGATCACTCTGGAGCCAAAGTTCATGGACTCATATCCTGATACCAATAGAATCACTTGGAGTGGGGAAGAGGCAGCTCTCTAGCAAGTTTAAGGGCAGGAAAATAGGAGATGGGGGAGGAAAACTATGACTGCATTACTGCTTTGTTTTGATCTGAACCTTTCAATCATAATAAAGAGCATCACAGCATACTAACCCTTTGTGGCCGATGGGTTCTTTTTCTCACTGAATTCAACCACTTACTGAACCCTAGACAATATCTTGAAGTAGAAAGCCTTTGCATGATTCATGTATTTTAGAAGATTTCCTGATATGTTTTTCTGATAGCTCAAAACTGGAATTTTGAATTTGGAGAACCTATTCTCTAAACTTTGTTACAATAGCCAGTTTTATTTTTTTCCTCACTTTTATTTTCTTTCTCTCTTTCTAGGTTAATATCTAACACAGGTATTAAGCAGTTGCCAGCTGTTCACAAGATTCAATCTCTCCAAAAGGTTCTATTGTAAGTCTTTCCTTGAGCTGCTGCTAACTTTTCTACGCAGTAGCTCTCTTGCTCATTAGCCTCTGGGCCTTAGTATGCATTGTTAGATCTTCAGCCTCCAAATATGTTGTCTGGGAAGGAACAGAGACGATAAACCTCCTGTATCCTTGTTTTGTTTTGTTTTTTTACCTGAAGGTCAACTAATCTCAGTGTGGAGGAAGTTGGCGTGGTTGTCCGCTGACAGCAAATCAAGAAGTCTCTTGTTCTCTTCCCTCTCTACTCCTTTGCACACTTTCCCTTGCAACTCCCCCTTATCTTACTATCTTTCTCCCTCAGGAAGAATTTCCTTATGTGTAACAAACACAGCAAAGAATTCTTATGCTGCCTTAGGCATGAAGAATCTACCAGACAAACCAATTTACATTAAGATGTTAGAGACAAATGTGTTTCATTTGCCTAGGATATATGTCTTTTGAACGAGGAGAAAGGGCAATGAATCAATGATTTTCAACACTGAAACTGAAGAATCTCGAGAGACTGCAAAGGAAGAGGCAGGGAAGGGAGATAAGGAACTAAGGAGGGAGAGAGAGAAAGGTACTCTCAGTTTCTCAAAAGATCTACAAGCACTTTGCTCCTTCTACAATTATATGGTAGATCAGACCCAAAGGGGAAACTGGATATAAGGATGAGCCATGACCGGAAAAAAAAGACTCTCCAGAATTTCAGGAAGAGGAAAAAAATCAATAAGATTTGTGTGACCAAGGACTTCAGAAGAAAACTAGCTGTGAGTGAGAAGATGATAGGGAAGAAAGACAGATGAAGCTTGAGAGAAAGTGACTACAGAAGTTTGGTAAAGAGGCACAAGATTAGGACAGAGCAATTGCAGAGCAGGGAAGACACTTGCCCTGCACACAGCTGACCTGAGTTCAATGCCTGGCACTTTATCTGGTCCCCTGGTCCCTGCCAGGAGTGACGCACAGAGCCAGGAGTAAGCCTTGAGAACAGCCAGGTGTGATTCTCACACCAAAAATAAATTAATTAAAAGGAAGTAAAAGATCAATTCTAGTGTCTTGGTCATTAAGCAGACACCAGTCATGGACAAGCACAGTCCATGTAAATTTTAAAATTTTTTACTTTTTAAGAATATTTCAAAGTCGTTCATGATTGAATTTCAGTCATACAGTATTCCAACACCCATCCCTCTACCAGCGTACATTCCCAGCACCAGTGTGTTCTCTCTCTCTCACCCCACCCCATATTTCCCCTGTCTCTTTCCCTCTCTGTCTCTCTCTTTCTCCCCTCTCTCCCTCTTCCCGCCACCCCCCCCCCCCCCGCCTCCTTTTGGGCATTGTGGTTTGCAGCATTGATACTGAAAGGTTATCAAGAATATCCCTTTTTCTGGGAATGCCCTGTGGCTGAGGTGGGGTGGGGTGGTGGGGAATGGGGGGTAGTGGGAGGGAGGGAGGGATGCTGGGAACATTGGTGGGGGAGAATGGGCACTGGAGGAGGGAAGGATAAACAATCATTGTATGACTGTAATGCAAACATGAAAGTTACCCATGGGGATTCACTAATTACAAAAAAAAAAAGACGATCTCTTTACCTACTTTTAACACTCAGATCTTGTCCTGCGTAATCATTCCCAGCTACTATTGTCATACTGGTCTATTCTCTATCTTACCTACTCTCAGCTCCACAATATTTTTCATAGTTTGAACTCATCTTTCACAATAAACATGATTTGAATTTTTCCTGACCTAAAGCCCTCAACATGCCCATAAACTGAATGGGGGAAAGACACATGAGTAAGATACTTATCTGATTTGTCCATAATTTCTTCTAGAGATATTCAAGATAACATAAACCTCCATACAGTCAAAGGAAATTCTTTCACAGGACTGAGTCTTGAAAGTATGATTCTGTAAGTAAAGTATAAAAACTCAGTGAGTAATGCTTAACTTTTCACTTAATGATCTTTCTCATAATGGGATGTTCGTTCCATGTTTGTGGGGGGAACTTTGGCATTTCACCATTGAAATTTCTCTCTAGTTCTGTGTTTTTCTCTCATTTCCCATCTTTATATTTCAGAATCACAACATGGAGTCGTGTTAATAATTTATGATTCTGTGGTGCGATTCAAGTATTTAAAATTGCTCTTTGAATGATGGTCTCCTGTGATGCAACATCTGTTCCAAAGGACAGAATAACTCATGCATCAATAAAGCTAGTTATTGCCTGGAAAGTCTTTTTGTTGCCCAAAGAAAAAGACAAAGAAGGAGGCTGAGAGTGGAAGATATGGCTATTCCCACATAACTATGCCATGCAGCTACTGTTCAGCACCTTGCTAAGCATAAGATGACTTCTCATTTTCTTGGAACAATCACGCTTTTTAATGAGCTTCAGTTCCCCCCCCCCTTTTTATGCTCTCTACATAGTTAATGAACTACCTTCTAATCTTTTGTGCCAGTAGTCCACAGGACAATTTCCCTACTTCCCAGAATGTAAGGAAATATGGGACAACAGGCTACTCACGGTTTGTGGAATCTTTGGAAGTCAGGGGCATAGAGTGATACTCAGAGGACTGGTCATTGCAATTGCATCCGAAAAGAAAGCATCTTGTCCATTCCAAAAATTGTAGTATTTTTAGAAAATAAACATCTATGGTTTTATGTTAAACATCTCAGTGTGTTCAAAAAATAAATTTCAATCCATAAAGAATTCCAGTCCTTTTCAAATAAGCAATCTGATTCAGAGACCAAGATGTACAGAGAGAGAAACAGTAACAAAGAACATAGCCCAGAATAAGGCTAAGCAGCTTTTTATGTAAATTAAAAAGAAAAATAGAAAATATTGGAGAAAAAAACTATATTCCTTGCTACTACTGATTAGCAAATAATTGGGTTGTGAAGGGAAATTTTGTAAAAGTCAAAGGCATGTATTCAAAGTATTAGGATAAGGATTATACATGAGTAAATCCTAATCCTTTTACCTAAAGTACAGATACTGGGAATATTAAATGTGCATATGTGTTTTCTGTTTGTGTGTGTGTGTGCGTGTGTGTGTGTGTGAGAGAGAGAGAGAGAGAGAGAGAGAGAGAGAGTTGGAATGACATGATGGCTGCGTGGGAAGTGTGAGAGAATGAGAAAGAAAAATAAATTAAAATATGAACAGAATGAAATGTATATAAAATAAAAGCAATCATTCTTCAAGAAGGGATAATATACTCTGCTTGCCTGTGATGCCAGGGCTCAAGGAAGAGTTAAATAAAGGTTGAGAAAAGGAGGGTATGTCTAAATTGGACTTTAAAAGATGAGTGGGATTTAGCCCGAGTGTTGGCAAAGGGCAAGGAGAAGAAAAAGAATAATCAAAGTTTAAGAGGATTATAAAAAAAAAAGATAAAAGGAGCTTTTAGAAAATAGTGAATATCGAAGTAATGCCAGCTCGGTGGGTCAGAACATAAGCATAACAGTAAAAAGTTCTTGGACTACATCATGAAGGAAACATTACTGATAACTGTAATCTTTTGTACTGGGAATTGGTGCTGCCTTAATCACTTGTACTGGGACTTGGTGCTACTTTAAGTCAGCTCTGACCGTGTGTTATTTTTAAATCTAGTGATTCAAAATTAGTTTTTGTTATAAGGTAGCAAAATTAACATGATGATTTTATAAAACTATGTATTTAAGAGGTTTTATGTTAATATTTTCAGTTTTACATGTTAAATACACATCCTTTTGGTCCAGAACATTAGACAGAAGGCAAGGTGTCCTGACTTACAGAATTTTAATTTTCCTCCATGTTGATGAAAAGATTTTGAGGTAATAAGAATTTATGGGGTCAGAGATACAGCACAGTGACTAAGGCATTTATTTTGCAAGTGGATAAGCCAGATTCAATTCCCAACACTCCATATGCTCCATCAAGCCTCACCAGGATTGATCCCTGAACACAGAGCCAGAAGTAAGTCCTGAACAAAGCTGAGTGTGGCCCAAAATTGATGAAGCTTTGAAACTCAACTTACAAGTGAAATATACTGATCACAGCTGTTCCTCATTGACTCCTATTCATAAACACCATGTGGTCCCCAGAACTTGAACACACTTTCCTATAAAGGATAGTTTTTTAAGAGTCAATAATGTTCAGACTTATCCCTAAAGGATAAAGGAACATTTGTAAGGACAATATCTGCTTTTCTTGCCTTGAATGGTTCTTCATCTATAGATAACAGAAGCAGAAGGTCCATACTGAATGCAGTTTACGTCTGCAATTGTTCTTTATTTGGGTGCTCTATCTAGATATAGAGTCATTTTCTCTCACTAGGGACAACAAATCTATTCAGAGAAAAGAAAACCAGCATGGATAAAGGAAATGATAACTTCAAAATAAACTTTCTATATACTGGTATTTTCTAAAATTTTATAATTCTATCCTAACATATTATAATAGATGTATATGAAATATTTAAATTCTAAATAACATATATTTTTTAATTATATTTATTTTATATAGTCCAAAAATATGACCAGATACCTGACTTGTGACACAGAGGAAAATAAGCCATAGAAGATCTCTAAGCCTTTCCTCAGTGTTAGCAGAGGATCAGGATGGGGAGAGCAGCTAGTCATGGCCTAAAGGAATCAAAATAAGGAAACATGTGGGAAAGATCCCTGCATACCCAGCCACAGGAGACCCTCTCTCATGTGTGATACTCCCTTCCTCACTTGACTGTGTCCATCACTCGGCTGCCCCTCATGAATTTACTGAACCAGGTCCTCTAGTCCCTTCCATCTTGAAGATACAGGCATAGTTTTGCACCTTAAGTAGTCTGAGAATCTTCTGGGTGAACACAAAAGGTTAAGTGAAAACCCATTGATCATTGATTCCTTACCTGATACTCTGCCCAGGTTCTCACTATCATCACCATTTGTTTTCAAAACCAGTACTACGTTTTTAAAGATCTCTTAGGGGACTAAATATGTACTTCATGAATGTCAGCTACTCCTTGTTGGTAATTCAAGAGGCCTACAACAGATTCCCCAGGACAGGACTTTGGGACAAAACTTGGTTTTTGTATTTTTGTCCATTATTGACATGTAAAACTGCCTCCTGTTATCTATTTATTGGGAAAAAATGTTATCTATTTAGTGGGAAAAAATCCAAAAAGACAAAGAACCACTTTGAATACAATAATTATTTTAAACTAGACCATATTTTATCCAATCATGCAGAAAATTCTATTTGCATCACACACATGTATTCAGAAAATGTTGATTAGTTTACAAAAAAAACAAAGGTGGACTTATACACCCTTTGTGTTAGATTCTAGGGGCAGCCAATTATGGGCAAACCCCGCTCCTGACTTGGTACTGGATTTTAGAAGTCAACATTTTGATAAAGAATAGAAATTAAACTGAAGTAAAATGTTCTCATCCCCAAAGAGTTATAGTTTCAATTTTTTTAAAGGGAACTATTTTAAAATAATTGTTCTCATTATTATATATTAACTTTGATCAACAAAAGAAACTGCAACTTTCTTTTGTAATTCCCTCTATAATTTATAATTACCTATATAGCTTCAATTTGGCCTTCTGGCCCAATCATCTTGAAGTTCCTATCAGGTCCTTTATAAGAGACATCCTCATATGCCTGATTTTGATCTACCACCCACATAGTGGGATAAGGGTAGAGCTATAAGCTCTTACTACTGCAGGACAAACTGATGAGGAGATTCGGGGACTCAGTGTGCCTGGCAGAGTTTCCTGGGAGCAGATGCCAAGCTGATGAGATGGGTGCAAAGCCACCTACCAGCCTTTGGAACCCCCGAATTGGTTGCTAGCATTTTAAAAGATCTCCCTTGCTCCTCTGGATATTTTAGTATCTGGCTGTTACGAGAAAGATAAGAGCACACACTTCTTCTCCTGTGATCCTAAGTCTTTTCTAACTACATGCCCAAAGCCTAGGAAATGGAGTTCTGAATGCACAATATTTTTAGCTTGTTCTTTGTCCACTCACAGAGGCTGGCAGGAAAACAAGCAGACAGCAATGCAGGAGTAGCTACCCAGGGCCTCTCAAGACGAAGCTCTCCTCACTTTAGATTTCTCCGGGGTGGGGTGAAGGTTGTTTGTTTTGTTGTTGTTGTTGTTTCTTTTTCTAATCTACCTAGGAACGCCGTTATGTAGTGCTATCCTCTATGTCCTTGGGTCCCTGCTGTCCAGGCAAAGATACTCACTGACCTTCTTGACCTTCTTTATACAACCAGGATGACTGCTCCAGCCCCACCCCCTCCCCCAACAACTCACATTCCCTCGCCCACCGCAGCCCACCAGTTTCTCTTGTGGTTTAGCCCCAAGTCACCTTCACAAACCTCTCATAGCCAGGTCCCTATGGGTCACGGAAGATGTTCAAGTTGTTTGACAGTTTAATTAGATCACTTTGGGAGGACAGCAGGACCTGCTGCTGGGGTGAACAGAGGGGAGAGGCCTAAGGCCTTTGAGAAAGTAATACAAAATGTTCTCTGTCTTATAAACCCTCGACTGGTAGATAATTGAATGATTTCTGTTCTTCAGGAGAGTAAAAATCTCGGTCTGCTACCTGCCTGCTATTGTCTCAGCATGCAGATGCTGTACGCAGAGCTGCCCAGGGTCTGGGTGGCTATGGCAAAGCGTGCACTTTCAAAATTAAATTTCATTAATATTTGTGAATAGGTAATGCATGCGCATAATGCAGATTTCAAAAGTTGCCAAAGGTTACACGGTGATTACTCAGTCTCCTTCCCACTTCTGTCCCTGGGCCTTGAGAGTGGCCCTTTATTTATGCCACTAACCTGTGCTGTCTGACTCGGCCCCAGTGCTTCCAATTATGAAACCTCTGTATTGTTTGCATTGGACATTATTGGCTTTTTAATGGGCTTTTATTTCAGATGGCTGAGTAAAAATGGGATTCAAGAAATACACGACTGTGCATTCAATGGAACCCAACTAGATGAGCTGTAAGTATTCCTGCCTATTCTTCCAAACCATTTAGAGGGAGATGGCTCATACAGCAGCGGCATTTTATGTGGCTTTGTGTTTCCATCTTTCCTCTGCTCTGTCCCCAGGAATCTAAGTGACAACAATAATTTGGAAGAATTACCTAATGATGTTTTCCAGGGAGCCTCTGGACCAGTCATTTTGTGAGTAGATTTCCCCATTTCCATCTGCAAGAATTCAGCGTGTGTGTTAGAAATTAACTTCTCCAATTGCAGAGGCTTCCAAGACAGGACTGGCAAGTAAGGTCAAATTTTACTTTTGTGCCATCTGCAAGACTTACAGAGACAATTAGGGCTTATCTACATTTGAACTTTCAATAAAACTACAACAGTAACAATAATAACTAATATTTAATGAGAACTTATCAAGTGCTAGATAGTATCCTAAAAGCTTAAAATTTAACTTTAAATTTTCAGATTTAATCCTCATAAGAGCCTTTGTGGTATTCCCATTTTCAAATAGACAAAACTAACTTCTCTGGAGGGGATAAGTAATGCCTGCAAGGTCATGCAAATTTCAGAGCATAAATTTACTGTCAAACTTAGCTACTTACATTATAGACTTCTCATCACTCTATCATACATTTCTTTCCGGGATCAAAAGCATGATTCTCTTTTCTCATCCTCAACCCAGTGAGATAACCACAGAGGCTTATTCTTGGCTCCTCTCTGTCTAGATTCCAGCTCTCTGGAATTGTATTACTTCCATCTCTTCCACAAGAGTGACTCTTCCCCTTCCCATTTTCCCTGCTCTTCCATGAGGTTCATTCTAAGTCTCATGTCCTCTTCCCTGACAATCTCAGTCAACAGTGAAATTTTCCTTCTGAAAGGTCCTTAGCCTTTACAGCTCCAAGGACCCAAAAACACAGGAGCATTTTAAAAATTCTTTCCTGGGCTCTAACCCAAACCATTAACCCTACTGAAGAATGCACTGCAGGAAGAAGTGAGCCCTGATGGAATGAGGGAGCTGCCAAAAGAAATGGTGAGCAGAAACAGATAAACATGAGCAAATCTAAAAGTTCCTAGATGATCCTTAAGAGCCAACACAAGGTCAGTTTGGACATATGAAAGCAAATAAGCAAATACCCTTTAACTTTTATTTGACGTCCACATAGTTCTCTATTCACCTACCATCTATCAACATCACTTCTTTTTTCACCACAAAGTGATATTTGCTTTCACACTGGAACCAACATATCTGTACAACTAGACCCTGCATGGAAGGACAGAAACTCCATCAGTGGTTATTTCTGGAGATAAAGGGAAAATAGATAGCAGCTTCTCGGCCTAAGAACTTTGGTTCTTAGGCGCAACCAGCGCAGGAGGAAGCCTCCTGCAGTTGAAAGAGAAGATGTCAGGCAGAGGCATTGTGTGGTGTGTCTTGGGAGAGTGTGGAATGAAAGCAGACACACGAATTTCTCAGCTAGCCCTTCGGGTCACATGTAAAAAGAGATGTCACTTGCACAAACAGTTCTGCCAGTTCCACAAGTTACACACCCACTTTTGGCTCCTCTTTCCCCAGAGGATTGATTCTGGCTCGAATAAAATAAAATCTTCCAGATTATTCCACTTTACAGAAAATCTGCGTAGACAACGGAGATAGAAACTGCCAGCAGTGAGCCACATCTATTCAAGTGTAATTGTCTGATTCAGGTTGTTAGGCATTCAAATGAATCAATGTTTATGGCCAAGTTCGTGTTGACAAGGACACCAACACCACCAACACCTCTTTTGTCACATGTGCCAAGGAACAGTTCTTTCCCAGTGTCAAAAATGGTGTGATGTGATTGATGCCTTCTCATCTCCGTTAGACCAACGATGTCATACTTGATCTTTCACGCTTGCACCATCAGGTCCTCAATGGATTCATCTGATGACAGCATACGTGCATTGAAAGTACAGACAGTCATTTTTGTCCTTCTTTGTTTTGGCAGTATATGTCGGTTCTGAGACTTTATGAGCCTCTCCTTTCTCATCCTTCTAAACACAGCCATATTGGTGGCTCTTTCAGAGTCATGAGAATGGGACCCATTGTATTCACTGGTTTGGGCATATCAAATACACCACAAGTAGCTTGCCAGGCTCTGCCATGTGGGTGGAACACTCTCGGTAGCTTGTCATGCTCTCCAAGAGGGATAGAAGCTTTTCGAGCGGCCTCTAATCGCCCTTACAGGAGTTTCCATGCTTCAAACAATATTTCAACACATTCAAATATGGTGCGGTAATCTTGTAGTGTTTTATGATGTGTCGTGCAGCTGCAATGCAGTCTGGAAAGCGTCCTGGAGAGAGTCTGTGGCTGGGTAGTGGAGGTAGTGGAGGTACTGGAGGTCTGCCAGGCTGCTGGGAGCAGGCAGAGGATCTCTGCTCCCCAATCTCTGCACCAACATCCAATTATGATGAAGAAGAAATTGAGAAACTCTACATGGAGCTGGAGAAGTTCTATAAAGAAGACCACACCTTCTACAAGATCATTGTCAGTGATTTTAATGCTAAGATAGGACTGAGAAGTTCAGCTGAAGAACTCCATATCAAGACCCATGGCCTAGAATGGAATGAACAGGGTGAGAGACTGTCCAAGTTCATCATGTTGACCAAGACCATCCATAGTAACTCACAATTCCAGAAGGCCGAATTTAAACGTTGGACATGAGAGGCTCCCGGTGGATGGTTCCACAACGAAGTTGACCACATCATATTCAATCAACGGTTTTGCCTGACCGATGTCGCTGTTGTCCCAAAATTCCAAATGGGGTCATACCACAGTCTCCTTCATGCAAAATCCTACTTCACAGAGCGGGGAGAAAGGGCTGCAAAGTTTAAGAAGAGAACTCCCAGAACGACCACCAACTGGGAGTTCTTTGACACTATTGCAGAAACATGGGAAGATGCCATCACTGACAACATTGACAAGGAATACGATCAACTGGTTCAGCACCTCTATGATTGTGCAAGGAACACCGAGAGAGATAGCCACAAAAAGACAACTGTCTTCGAAAACTCTCGAGCTCATTCACCAATGTGGCTTGGCGCAAGCCTCAGGCAACTGCAAGCGAATGTCCGAGCTCACAAAGCAGTGCAGAGAAGTGATAAAGGAAGACCTCAAAGAGAGAAAAGCAGCAGTGTTGGCAGATGCGGCAGAAACTGGGAAAAGCATTCGCAACACCCACCTGTCCTTCGCCCACTACAAGACCAGGATGAGTCCCCCTCCAACATCCTGATGGATCTATCACATCTTCCAGAAGGGCAATGGAGATTATCCATGACTTCTACTCAGATCTCTTTGATAGCCACGTCCACCTGCCCACATACCAAATTCCGCAGGATGGATATGTCGTTCCCAAAGTTCTCCCTTCCGAAATCCAACATGCTATTTCATTGGTAAAGAAGTGAACAGCACTTGGCCCAGACAAGGTCAGACCCGAACACCTGAAGAACCTGCCATCAGTACTTATCAATACACTGGCCCGACTCTTCACACACTATCTGTCTGAATGCAAGGTTTCGTCCCAATGGAAAACCAGCAGGACTGTACTACTGTACAAGAAGGGAGATATCCACAACATTGGCAACTATCGCCCAATCTACCTGTTGTCTGTCATCTACAAGCTGTTCACTTGAGTCATTCCGAATAGGACTGGCAGAACACTAGATGAAGAACAACCATGCAAGCAAGCCAGTTTTTGAAAAGGATTCAGCACGATCGACTATATCCACATGATAACCAAGCTCAGTCAGGCTTCTCGAGAGTTCAAGATGCTGCTCTGTCTAACGTTCGTTGATTTAAAGAAGGCCTTTGATTCTGTTAAGATGGAAGCAGTCGTCGAGACCCTAGCCAAACAGGGCATTCAAAGTCAATACATCAGGATCCTCCGTGAGCTGTATTGCGGATTCACTACCAGGATCTCACCATTCTACAGGAGGGTGATCATTGACGTCAAGAGAGGGTTTCGCCAGGGTGATACTATTTAACCAAAACTCTTCAGTGCCACCATCAAGAACATAATGCGCCAACTGGAATGGGAAGGAATGGGAGTGAAGAGAGATGGTCGGCAACTATGCCACCTATGCTTCACTGATGACATCGTTCTTATAACACCAAACATCAGCCAAGCGGCACAAATGCTGGCCAACTTCGACCGTGAGTGTGGAAAAGTTGGACTACAGCTGAATCTGACAAAAACAATGTTTATGAGAAATGGTCTTGTTCCTGACGTTCCATTCACTCTCAATGGGATGACTATCTTCGAATGCAACGGTTATGTGTACCTAGGTCGAGAAGTCAACATGACTAATGACCTGGCACCTGAGTTGCGAAGGAGGAAGAGAGCAGCTTGGAATGCCTTCAAGAACGTCGAAGAAATAGCTAAGAGAACAAAGAACCTTCAGCTCTGGTCACATCTCTTCGATTCCACTGTTCTGCCTACATTAACATATGCTTCAGAGACCTGGGCCCTACGAAAACAGGATGAGAATGCTATTCAGGTCTCCCAGAGAGGAATCAAAAGAGCTATGCTTGGAGTATCATGCTTCACTCAAATGAGAGAAAGAATCCGGAGTTCTGACTTTTGTCGAAAGTCAAGAATCAGGGACGCTATCTTGTTTGCCAAGGTGTCAGAAATCAGATGGGCTGGACACATAATGAGATTTGGAGACGACTGCTGGACTAGAGCCATTGCCGACTGGATTCCACGGGACATCAAAAGATCGCGTGGCCGCCCACCTACGAGATGTTCAGACTTCTTTGTCAAGACCCTGAACGATCAGTTTGAGGCTCTTCTTGTTCCTAGAATGAGCAGATACCATTGGGCTACATTAGCACGTGACAGGGATGAATGGAGATGTTACTGGCACCCTTTCAAGCAAATCAATGAGTAATGGGATGTCAAGTGATCAAATAATCAAGTGACAGAAAATCTGTAATTGGGAGAAAATCAGTAAGTTGAAAGTGCTTACTATCATTTTAAAGAGTAGTAATACCTGCTCGCATATTTTCATCTCAATACATACATAAGACCTGCAGAATCTTGGTTGAAAGCCTGGTCTATAGTGGCTGGTTCCCTCCTCTCCATCAGGAGGCACTGAGAATTGATCACCTTAACACCAGTCTCCGCTTTGAGGTTTCCAGGGTAGTCCTTAGGTATCCT